GTGATGTTCCCTTTTTCATTTCTGATTCAGTTTTTTAGGGTTCTCTCTCTCTCTTTCTTTGTGAGCCTCGCTAGTGGTTTATCAATCTTGATTATTTTCTCAAAGAACCAGCTCTTGGTTTCATTGACCTTTTGGATTGTTTTTTGGGTTTCAATGTCATTAATTTCTGCTATAAGTTTTATTATTTCCTTCCTTCGGTCAAATTTGGGTTCCTTTTGTTGGTCTTTTTCTAATATCTTGAGCTGCGAGGTTAGGTTATATATGTAGGCCCTTTCTTCATTTCTTAGGAGTGCTTGCAACGCTATAAATTTTCCTCTTAACATGGTTTTAGCTGCATTCCATAAGTTCTGGTAGCTTGTGTCTTCATTCTCATTTGTTTCCAGTTATCTTTTGATTTCTCCCTTGACTTCCTTCCTGACCCTCTCATTGTTCAACATTGAGTTGTTTAATTTCCAGGTGTTTGATTTGTTTCTCTGTGTCTTTGTATGATTCACTTCTATCTTCAGTGCATCATAGTCTGAAAAGATTTTTGATACTACTTCTATCTTCCGATTCTATTGAGGTATATTCTGTGACCTAGCACGTGGTCTCTTTTGAAAAATGTTCCATGTACATTGAAGAAGAATGTGTATTCTTTCTATTTGAAGTATAAAGCCCTGTCTAGGTCTATTAGCCTTCTCTCTTCTATTTCTTCCTTCAAAGCCAATATTCCTTGCTGAGTTTTGTTCTTGTTGATCCATCCAGAGGTGATAAGGCGATGTTGAAGTTTCCAACTTCTGTTGTGTTGCTAGCAATGTCCTCCTTAAAATCTGTTAGCAGTTGTTTTAAGTATTTAGCTGGTCTCTCATTAGGTGTGTATACATTTAAGAGTGTGATTTCTTCCTGTTGTAAGTATCCCTTGATAAATAGAAATTGGCCTTCACTGTCCCTTCTAATATTTTTCAACCTGAGGCACGTATCTCCCTAATACTGAAAGCAAACAAAGACACCACCAACAAAGAAAACTATAGGCCAATATCCCTGATGAACATGGATGTGAAGATCCTCAACAAAATATTAGCAAATAGAATCCAACAACTCATCAAAAAGATCATACACCACGACCAAGTAGGACTCATCCCACGGATGCAAGGATGGTTTAACATTCGGAAATCAATCAACATAATCCATTATATCAACAAAAGTAAAGATAAAAACCATATGATCATATCAATAGATACAGAGAAAGCTTTTGATAAGACCCAGCAGCCATTTATGATGAAAATTCTCACCAAAATGGGTTCTGAAGGAACTTTCCTCAAGATGGTCAAAGCCATCTACGACAAACCCATGGCAAGCATTATCCTCAATGGGGCAAAACTTAGGGCCTTCCCTCTAAGATCAGGGACAAGACAAGGTCCACTATCACCACTTCTATTCAATATAGTATCGCAAGTACTTGCAATAGTGATTAGGCAAGAAAAAGACATTAAAGGCATCCAGATAGGAAAGGAAGAAATCAAGCTCTCACTATTCGCAGATGATATACTATATCTTGAGAATCCCAAATCCTCAACCAAGAAACTCCTAGTAACAATAGACTTGTAAAGTCGCAGGCTATAACATTAATGCCCCCAAATCCATGGCCTTCCTATACGCAAATAATGAGTCAGAGGAAAGTGACATGGAAAAAACAATCCCATTCACAATCGTGCCCCCAGAAAATCAAATACCTCGAAATCAGCCTAACCAAAAAGATAAAGGACTTCTACAATGAAAACTACAAAATGCTACTCCATGAAATAAAAGAGGACACGAAGAAATGGAAACATTTTCCCTGCTCATGGATAGGAAGAATTAACATTGTCAAAATGGGAATACTCCCCAAAGCATTATACAGATTCAATGTGATCCCTATAAGGATACCCATGAAATTCTTTAAAGAAAGAGATCAAGCACTCCTGAAATTCATATGGAACAACAAATGCTCACGAATAGCTAAAGCAATTCTTGGGAAAAAGACGTCGGGAGGCATTACCCTCCCCAACCTCAAACTCTACTACAAAGTGGTAATAATTAAAACAGTATGGTACTGGAACAAAGGCAGGGCTGCAGACCAATGGAACAGGGTAGAATATCCGTACACACAATCCCAATTGTATGAACTTTAATCTTTGATAAGGGAGCAACAAATGTGAAGTGGAGCAAGGAAAGCCTCTTCGACAAATGGTGATGGCATAACTGGACAACCATATGCAAAAAAAAGGTCTTAGACCTCGACCTAACACCATGCACAAAAGTCAGATCAAAATGGATTAAAGATCTCAACATCAGGCCAAAATCTATAAAGTACATTGAAGACAAAGTCGGCAAAATCCTTCACAATATTGAGGCTAACAGAATCTTCAAAGACGGCAGTCCACTGACCAACCAAGTGGAAACAGAGATAAACAAAGGGGACTATCTTAAATTAAGAAGCTTCTGCACCTCGAAAGATACAGTGACCAGAATACAAAGACAATTTACAGTATGAGAAAGAATATTCACCCATTTGATAAGAGGTTGATATCAAGGATATACAAAGCACTGGTTGAACTCTACAAGAAGAAAACATCCAACCCCATCAAAAAATGGGGTGATGAAATGAACAAAAACATTCTCAAAGAAGAAATCCGAATGGCTAAAAGGGACATGAGAAAATGTTCTACATCACTAATCATCAGGGAGATGAAGATCAAAACAACAATGAGATATCATCTCACACCACAGAGACTGGCCCACATCCAAAAGAACAAAAGCAACTGGTGTTGGTGCGGATGTGGGGAGAAAGGGACCCTCCTTCACTGCTGGTGGGAATGCCGACTGGTTTAGCCCTTTTGAAAAACAATATGAACGATTCTCGAAAAATTAGAAATTGAGCTCCCATTTTTTAAAATTTTTATTAGTGAAACACCATGAGGTACTGAGCTCCCATTTGACCCAGCAATACCATTCTTGGGACCCAGCAATACCATTTCTGGGAATATATCCTGGAGAGGCAAAAAAGTATAGTTGAAATGACATCTGCACACCTATGTTCGTTGTTGCACTGTTTATAATTGCCAAAATCTGAAAAAAACCCGAGTTCCCGATAACAGATGACTGGTAAAGAAACTTTGGTATATCTACACAATGGAGTACTATGCAGCCATTAGAAAAGATGAAGTCATGAAATTTACATACAAGTGGTCACAATGATCACGACCATCCTGTTGTTTGTCGATTGCCTTGAGCAGGCCCCAGTAACGTCTCCTTCATCCTAGCCCTGAGATTATATTCAAGGCTCTTTAGGAGAATGAGACCCATCATTGTTACTGGTATTTGGCATATTGGGTACGCCATGGGGAGTTTGCCAGACTCTGCCATGTGGGCAGGTTACATTCAGTAGCCTGCCAGTTTGTCCAAAGTAAGAATGAGATAATAAGATCGTGTGGCCGCAAATGCGGTCGTGCACTTCCGGGAGCTGGGTTTTATATACAAGTGGTACCACATGAAAAGTATCATGCTAAGTGAAATGAGTCAGAAAGAGAGGGACAGACATAGAAAGATTGCATTCATCTGGGGAATATAAAGGTAAAGGCCCTCCCGTTGATCGTCGATTTGCTCGAGCGGGCCCAGGAACGTCTCCATTGGAGACTTTGTTGTTACTGTGTCTGGCATATCGAATACTCTCGGTAGCTAATAGGAGACTAAGACCCAAGAATACCCGAGATAAGTACCAGGAGATTCACTCCATGGCTCGAAAGCCAGCTGCACGTGCTAGGGGAAAAAGCAGCTCAGATAGAGAAGGGAACACCAAGTAAAGGGTGTTGGGAGGATCCTCCTAGGATGGGAGATGCATGCTGAAAGTAGACTATAGACCGAACATGATTACCACTCAATGCCTCTTTTGCAAACCTCAGCACCCAGAGTGAGAGAGAGAACTAAAGGGAATGCCCTGCCACAGAGGCAGGGTGGGATGGGGGGATGGGGGGCGGGAGGAATACTGGGATCATTGGTGGTGGAGAATGGGCACTGGTGGAGGGATGGGTACTCAATCATTGTATAACTGAAACCCAAGCACAAAAAGTTGTAAATCCACAACTGTACCTCATGGTGTTTCACTAATAAATATTAGAAGACAAAAATCCAGGAGTTGCAGAGAGACTAGAGGGAGACTGGGACAGCAAGATGGAGAAACTAGCAAATGGGACAGAGGGAGAAGAATGTAGGGGAAGAATTCATGAGCAGGCGTGTGGAGAGAGAGAGCCCAAGCTGCAAGAGGGAGCGTGGAGAGATGAGCAGGAGAGACAGGAGGAGACGGGAATGAGGGGCAGTGTGAGACTAGAATGGGGGGCTTAGTGATACTGGATCAGGCACCTGGAGAGAATGGAATAAACAGCAACTGATCAACAACCAGCTTGGTCCTCATTTCCTCCTTCTTCCATTCGCCCATGACATGGGCTGCCCCGAGTGGGGGAACAGCCCCGAGTTCACCTTGGTGAAAGGAAACACCTCTGGGGCTTTCCCAAGCCATCCAGAGATTACATAGACAGGGGTTAAAGTATAGTTCAACCATATAGTTCCCCAGCTACCGCTAAATGCACACCTTAACTCAGAACCAGAAGTAGCCTCCAAACACCACCAGGTGGGACCCCAAACTCCCCTCCACCTCCAAAAAGCGTATTTGTCTTAAACTAAAAAACGCATTTAGTTTTGCAGGGTTACTCTGCATAGACCTTGACAAACCTCAGGTTTGACTCAATAGTACCAGTATTTTTCCAATCAGGAGCTCTGTGGGTGACTGTGTGTGTGTGTGTGTGTGTGTGTGTGTGTGTTTGTGCGCTCGTACAGTGAGTGTGGTACCTTTCAACTGCATCATTTTAGATCTTGAGTGTCTCCACCGTGCTGCTCTCTGGGGTCCCTGGTCTGGATGGGGGTGTGCTGGGGCCCTCTCCACTGCCTGGTGCCCTCACCCGGCCTCCTGTGCCCTGTGCTCACAGATTCGTACCTGAGCCTGGATGAGCCCATGAATAACATCACCACGTCCCTGGGCCAGACGGCCGAGCTGCACTGCCGAGTCTCGGGGAATCCTCCTCCAACCATCCGCTGGTTCAAAAATGACGCGCCTGTGGTCCAGGAGCCCCGGAGGGTATCATTCAGGGCCACCAACTACGGCTCCCGGCTGCGGATCAGAAACCTCGACACCACTGACACAGGCTATTTCCAGTGCGTGGCCACCAACGGCAAGAAGGTGGTGTCCACCACCGGGGTCCTGTTTGTCAAATTTGGTAAGTGTCCTCCCTCGGGGATAGGGTGGGAAGAATGAGCCAGTGGGGAGCACGGACTCCCAGCCCAGCCCCCGCTGATGCTAGGACAGTTGCCCTCATTCTTTCAGATTAGCCAACTGAGGCCCGGTCATGAGGTTCAGGTCCCAGCAGAGTGGAACTGGAGTCCACATCACCCCAGTGCCCCAGCTATGGGTCCTCAGGTCAGCGAAAGTGTCCTGCATGTGTGCAGGAGTCGGGGAGATTCATGCCATGCCATGCACCAGGCATTCCACTACCACCCAGAGATCCCTGTGGGCCGAGACCATCAGAAAGAATTCCCGGAAATGTATTCAGCCTCCTTCTGAAGATAGGAGACACCGCTGCAGGTGGACGCCCACTCTCTGGACTCTTTTTTTTTTTTTTTTTTTTTTTTTTTTGCTTTTTTGGTCACACTCAGTGATGCTCAGGGCTTACTCCTGGCTCTGCACTCAGGAATCACTTCTGGCAGTGCTCAGGGGACCATATGGGATGGCAGGGAACTGGCTGGCTGTGTGCAAGGTAAATGCCCTCCCCGCTGTACTCATGGCCCCTGGACTCATTTTAAGCACTTGTCTGCGCGTTTTCAGATTTTCAGGTACTGTCTTGCCACTGTGCCTTTTTGTAAAGATGGTTGGAGGGTAGGGGTGCAAAATAATTTCAGGGGAAAAAAATAGCTCTTGGTCCCAGAGTGTTTGAGTACTTTTTGACCCTGTTTGAGAATGGTTTGACCCTACCAGTTTCCTCCACTTACCCACATCATTTCTTCTGTTTTTCTTTCATTTCTTCAGGGCCGCCTCCGACAGCAAGTCCAGGATCCTCGTAAGTACTTTTGTCTACTTTCTTGTTCTTTTGAAGCAGTTTCCAGGGCAGAGGCACTGCTGGGCTCTGCTTCACCCAAGCACTATGTTCCTGGCTTTTGTTGCACAGGGTCCTAGTTGGCCTGTTTGCTGATTGGAAGGGTCACAGCAGATCCATGCAGGGGGTCATTTCAAGCACAGTGGTGGTGATTTTCAGCCGTCAAGGCAGAAAGGCTGCTCCCAGTTTCTATTTCTAAATCTATCTGCTGTTTCATTGCCACCTTGTGGGACCGTCAAACGATCAAAAGAGAAAGATACACTGCTGGCTCAGAAGCCTGGACTCTCCCGTCTATCTGACTCAAGAGTCGGTTCTCAGTTCTTGTTTTTGTAAGCCTTTCTTCTGCCTTCATGATCCATCAGGTCAGCAGTAAATTGATCACTTTGTTCTTGTTTCCTTTTTAGGACACACACACACACACACACACACACACACACACACACACTCGCGTTGGAGCAATAGTGCAATGGGGAGGGCACTCAAGTGACCCTGGTTCGATCGCCTCTGATGCCCTATGCACCCCCAGGAATGATTCCTGAGTAGAGAGCCAGGAGTCACCCTTAAATAACAAAAACAACTTGGAGGTAGAGCTGGTATCTAGGTTCAATCCCTGGCACTGCAAAAGACATTTAAAAAAAAAAAAGAACAAAATCCAAGCTCAGAAGTTGGAGTTCTTTCTTGAAGAAGAAAGTCCTGACCCTGAATTAATGGTTACACACAAATTTGATACACTCTGAGTCTGTCTCCCAGGGATTCGGGAGATGCCATGCCTTTGATGGATGCTATTTTTGGTCCAGTTGAGCATGCTAAAAAATTCTCTTCTTTCCCTCCCAACACAGCCACGGGTGTATTTTTCTTTATGTAAATCTTTTATTTGTGAAGAAAGCCCCATTTATTTAAAACAAAAATCCAGAAAATACAACCTCTATTTGTAGCCTTCAGAAGTAAAATTCACCAGGCCCTGCCCAAGAGCATTGAAATATCTGACCTAGACAACACCCATGGCAAATATAACAGCCACTTCATTTGCTCTTAACCCCTCTGTGCCACTTAATTACAGTGTGGGCTATTTTAATATATTTGTGTGTGCCTGGAGGCCCCGTAGCCCACAATCCCATTAATAAAACAGGTAATGGGTAAAAATAAACATTGGCCTTCCGCCACTGCTCAGCCAGTTCATCAGCCAGTTAAGGCAACTGTTAAAGGGTGTTTAAAATCGCCCGGTGCTAATTGCAGTCTCCTGACCCAGGTAGGAAATGCCAACTGATCTTCAAGCAGATCAGAAGTTTGGTTATGGTGCTCTGCTGTTTCTTGAAGTTAACATTTCTCCCCCCTCCCCACCCCACACACACCCCAACCTCAGTGAGCTCATGATCTATTGATATGAGGAGTCCTTTTGAAGTCTTATTTAAACAAAGATGAAAACTTCTGTTCCTTGCTGTAAAAATCCTTCCCACCCTGGTACTTTTATTTGTTCCTGTTAATCGCTATTTCAATGTGCTGATAATCCATATTCCGCGTTGATGAAAGTGGTTCCTAATCGGCCTGGAACACTGGACTGTGGACTTTCTGCCTTTTGTGTTTGCGGATCAGATTTTTTGTTTAAACATCCTCTGTCCTTACGTCTTGAGGTGCCCACTGCTTGGCCGCCGCATTTCTGAGGAACCCAGCCTCAGGTCTCCCTGGGTTATGAATTGGGTGCAGTGGTTATAGCGTGCCTTTCTGAGTTGATGTTTCTGGAGAATGGGTTGAGGTTGCTTGAGAATGATGCTGGGCCACTGTTTATGGGACCCTCTGATGCCAAGCCCCCTTGTTTTACCCAACTACCATGTTATCTTTCACATGATGCAGCTGGAGCCTGGTGTAGTTGCCACATTTGCTTAGAGGGAGCCATAAGCAAGTACAATCCAAGGTGTGAATGCCATGGAACTCTGGTTGAAACGGATTCACACTGCAGGCTCCGTCCTGGTTTGGGCAATGCTAGTTGACTGATTGTTTCTCTTTTGCTTGTTTCTCTTTCTCTTACAAAATGGTCTCTATCTCTCTTTCTGTCTCTCTGTCTGTCTCTCTGTCTCTCTGCTTCTCTCTTTCCAAGATGAATCCGAATCAACTGTTCATTCTCTTCTCTATCCCAAATGGCAGCCAAGCCTCCCTGCAAGGGGAGAGAAAGATAGCTGTAGGAGCCTTGAGAGGGTACCAGAAACTCTATGTTAAGTTGAACAATAGCTTTTCCATAGTAGGAAAGTGAAGTGCAGTTGTCAAAGGACTGCATTTGCTTGTTATTTGCTCAGCAGAGTAACCTCCAGGAGTCAAGTGCAAAGCCCAGCTATGGCCCTAGCATTTGAGCAGTAGACTTCATCAGGTGGCTGGACCATGGGGGGACCTGGGCTTCGTGTGAGAGCCAGTCCTCACTGTAACCCAGGAAATCACCTGTCAGGCCTTTCGCATGGTCCCTCTGGCTTTGCACAGCAAACCTCCAGGGTGGCCTTGGAGGATGCGGTCAGAGCAGGTGTGAGGGGTTGCCTATGGATGGGAGCTGTAGGCTGCATTCCCTCTGTCATTGCTGAGGGCTGTCACCTCGAACATTGATGGTGCCAAAGCAGGAGTCCCCCAGGCTGCACCTCTAAGCTTCAGAAGGGGGAGATCAAGCAAGCTGACTGTTCCTCAGAGTCTGTTCTATCCTCCCACATGGATAAATCTACTTTCGTCATGACAAAATTGAAAACATGCATGCAAAATTATGATTTTTATATGACCGAAAGCCAGGAACTAGCCCAAAGAACTACTTTAATCATTATTATACACGTCTGGTGTTCTGGTCATGAGCCAGAGAAATACTGTATAGAATTTATAGATTGCTATATACCTTTCCCATTAAAGTTAATGGGAAATTAAATGATTTTTATTACCTTCACATCAGGAAAGATGTGATTGTATAGAACATTTTCACATGGTGTGATGTCTCTTGATAGTACTGCCAAATTAGACCAAGTTTCTTGAATCATTGTCATCCTTGTTTTTTTTTTTTTAAGAATTTCATTTATTTTTGGAGGGGTCTTGGGTCACAGTTTGTGACTTTAGAGGGCTATTTTCAATGTGATTGTTAGGGTGAGAGTAGGAGTTACTCATTGATGACAGTGCTCAGGGGACTGCACAGTGCCAAGGATTGAACCCAGGGCTCCCTCCTGCTAAACATCTCCCCAGCCCATTTCTGGTTTTCTAGAAGTCTTTTTTTCCCTTTGCTTTTTGAGTCACACCCGGCAATGCATAGGGGTTACTCCTGGCTCTGCACTCAGGAATTATACTTCGTGGTGCTCAGGGGACCATATGGGATGCTGGGAATCGAACCCGGGTTGGCCGCGTACAAGGCAAACCCCCTACCTGCTGTGTTATCGCTCCAGCCCCTCCAGAACTCTTTAACTTGAAGAGACCATATTTTTCTGGTCCAATGGAAGCTATAACAATTAATTGATTCTGAAAGTCATACTTAAATGGGCTAAGAATTTTTTCAAATCTTGTTCGCAGGTAATAACTAGAGTCAGATGATGAATATGTGGAAAAGATGGCAAAAATGTTATGTAACCCTAAAATCAGAATCATGCTTCACACGTTATACTTACTCTGTATGTAGCAATGTAAGAGCAACATGAATTGTTTAATGTCTGATTTTGCTGAGACTACTGTAACTTACCCAGAGAACAAGTGTTGTAAAGTGTGGCTTAAACAACAGTGTTAGTCAAAGTAGGAAAGTTCAGATCAAAATGTTGCCAAGAACTGGGGATAAGAGTTTTCTTCTTAGGGTAATTTTTCAGTGTTTTGGGGTATTCTTTGAGCTTTAGATGCATCACCCCCGTTTATGCCTTAATAGTCACATTTTATTTTTCCCATGTTATCTCTAAATTTCTCCTTTTTCTACGAACAACAGTCATAAGGATTCAGTCCAATGACATCATTTTCAGTGGATTACCTTACAAAAATCTTATTCTGATTCAATTTGTTTTGGGGGTGGGATGTTAATCAAATACGCATTATTCTACTTACTTTTACTTATTTTAGATTTTGAGCCCAGAAGTGCCAAAGGCTTACTCTTGGCTCTACACACAGGTCTCATTTGTAGTAAGGCTCAGAGGACCATATATGGTGCTGGGGATCAAGCCAGGGTCAGTTGCATGTAAGGTAAATGCCTTACCTTCTGTTCTGTCTCTCTGGCTTATATGATTGATATTTGATTTTTAACCAAATTTACATTCTTGGAGTTATTTCATTTTATCATGGTTTATAAAACCTTTTAATATTTGCTGGATTCAGTCTACTGTAGTGAGAACATTTTTTTAATCTAAAAAAATTAAAGTTTATAAAAACACTGATCTATATTTTTATGGTGATATCTGTGTGCTTCTAGCATCAGGAAAACTTAGAGGTTCTTAGAATGAGCTGACATGTATTTCCTAGTCTTCAGTTTTGGTTTTTTTTTTTTTTGAGACTCGTTTGTGAAGGGTTATATTCATCATCTTTATCTCTTTAGTATTTGATTGGGAAGTGCCAGTAAAGCCAGTTTCATTTTGTGGGAAGTTTTGAAATGGCCAATTCCACTTTTGTAGTTCTTATAGAACTATTTTCTTTTCTTTAAACAAAATTTTTGCAGGGTAGTCCCCAAGTGATGCTCAAAGGGTCTTGAGAGATGCTCTGGGCAATACCAGGCCAGTCCAGCTGGCGGTTCAATGCAAGGGCCCATGGATGTGGTGCTCAAAAGGAGAGAGAGAGAGAGAGTAAGAGGAAAGGTGCCTGCCAGAGAGGCGGGGACGGGGGGAATTAGGAGTGTTGGGAGGGATACTGGGAACATTGGTGGTGGAGAATGAGCACTGGTGGAGGGATGGGTCCTTGATCATTATATGACTGAAACGTAATCACAAAAGTTTGTGAGTCTATAACTGTATCTCACAGTGATTCATTATATATAAAAA